GTATTTTGTGTTATAACAGCGTTAGTTTAATAGTGCTCGGTTCCTGGGTTAAGAAATAACATGTAGGTAGTAAAGTTGTACCCGCCCTACGGCAATAGTCGTGCGCTTTAACATGTAACTAAAATAACATTACTGGTGAAAATTGGGGAACCTACACCTACTCTGCTTTGGGCAAAAATAAACGTGATTTTATTCAATGCTTAATAGAGATTTCAGATTTGGTTATCACGGTCAGCTATCCTTTTTTTTAAATATTTTTTTTTTATATCACGATGGTTACAAAAAAGCACACGGCCTACCTGATGGTAAGCGGTTACCCTGATCTATGTACGCTAGCAGCACTTGAGGCATTAATACTTTTTGGCCTTTGTTTTTTTTTTAAATAAGAGCAAACTCTCGCAGTATCTAATATTACGAGATCATCGCCACTTGTTCATGTTTTTTTTCCACCATTTAAAGTACAAATGCGTTGCAGGCCTTCTAAAAAGAATCCAGTTGTTTTGTGAAGATTTGAAGGATTTCCAAATTTTTGATGTGCAGGGCGAATAGTTTCAAACAGTTTTCACTCGTCCACCACGATATTATCTGGATGACAAAACTAAACAATATCAATGCGTGAACGTGAAGCCAATTTTAGTTAAACCACTCGGAAAATTATAAGCATAATCTCATGTTTTGTAGATAAACTTACAAACAAACAAAGTGGGTTTATCTTTTTACCAAACTGCTTGTATCAGCGTCCAGACTTGGCGAGTACGACGCAATCTTTTGGCACACCAAGCCACGTTTAAACCCGGGACCAACAGACCGACCAAAAAACGTTTTTATTTTCGGTTTAAATGTAGTGAAACTAATAGAAAGTGGAACCTGTATAAGAACATTTGTATGCTGATTGGATACTTCGGCTAAAAAGTAGGGTATCAGTTGCTTCGCTACTAAATGGCACTTTTTAGTATACTACTTAACTGTCGTTTATACTATTATTGAGCTCATTTGTTCGTTTGAACTCTTTTAAAGGAATTTAGCAAACGATTTTTGTACGTGACTCGTGTTGTTTCATTTGCATAGCCAGGTCTGTATTTTTGAAAGTATCTTTAAATAGGTTTAAAGCTTAAATCTTACAAGTTTAATCTTCTTCGTTATATTGGATTGGGGATATGAGCACGTTTCAAACTATTTTCTTAAGAAATATTTTAATGTTTGGAACAAAGAAGCACTAGATTTTTTTATTAGGAAACTTTAGATTTTAGTACTTTATTAACATGCGTAAATTCACGCCTGGCTCCTATGGCGGTAGGCAAAGACTATGGAACGCCAATTGCCATCAATATTTTCATGAATGCTCGTTGGTGAAGGGGACTTTGAATTTGGCCTTTCTTTAATATGTCGATTAAATACTATTAAAAAAATAACTTTAAATATTTTAAATAAATTTAAATAAAAAATGAATTTAAATAAAAAATGAATTTAAATGAGAACAAAATGTCTAAAAGTCGTTGAATAGATTTAATGTTTACCTTCGCTTTTATGTTTGTAGGAATAACCGGTTATGGTGCGAATAAGACAGTCTGTACACAGATAAGTACATAAATAGATTGATAACGAACTATGTGTCTATTTACAGACTCTAGATAATACTAAAAGTTTTCCTTAATGACTAAAGATAGCAATAGCCTTTATTGTAGTTATATCCTTATACAATACAAATTATAAATTGAAAATAATAGAATTTAAATCGAGACCGCCTTCAGCAAAAGGTAAACCCAAAAACAGTGGCGCGTAGCAAACGTATAATCTGCTACGGACGCGTAACCCTCGTAGCTAGAGCTACGCCGTAGCCGCAGCGTAGTCCGATTTCATACAACACATTAATTTCTATTTCGATATCGGATTTGAAATCATAGAACCATATGTAATGGAAACAGGTATTTCAATTGAGAAATATAATATTATGTTTGAAGGTAGAAGCTTAGTTTTATAATATTTGCAAAACATTAATGGAGGTAATGATTTATAATGTATGCTTCATTCTGTAGAGAGACTTTGTAATAACAACATTTTAATACAACAAAATGCATATAGAATTATAAAAGCTTCATAATCCGTGTGTTACCGAGTAATAAAATTATATTTATATAAAATTCACGATAGTAATAATAATCCGTCTGCTTAATTAAATTGTGTAAAATGTACTAGTGTTTCTCGATTAAGGTTTAATCGGATTTATATCGGTTGTCGATGACAATATTAGCTTATTCGAGCTTAATGCTATTTGCATTATACAGAAGCACTTTGCTTACATTATCAGTATATTAAATACACCACAAATTTTACCCTGGCCTGTGAAATTGAGTACAGTCCCTAAAATTTTCAGGTACTTTACTTTTTTGAGCTTTATTTTTTCCAGTTGTATTTACAACTATATTAAGTTTAGCAAATAATATCCATCACACTCAATTCGCAATTTATCATTAATTTGGTTATTGCAATTTAACTGTACAATTCGATTGCACCTTAAAACAAGGGGTTTAGCGTGCATAATACATATTTTATCAATGTAACTGCAAACTGCGCGGTAAATAGGTTTCGTCAAACATTACATGCTAATAAATAAATAATTATAAGCCATCAATTACATTATTAGTTCCCATTAATAACCCAAACTTTACTAGCATAATATCAACTAATTTGCACATAAGGCTCCCCACATAACATTCAGAGGTTTCATAACATCAAATATCCAATTTTAGCAACATTATAATGTGGTTTCCTTTAAATTCTGAGCATCGAAACTCATGCACGCCATTATATTATTTATACGAATGAAGACAAGGGCCAGAGTCGTCCAATGGAGCGTGAGCCAAAATATTTCTAGTAGGCACAGAGGCTTTTGAACCGAAACCGTTATAGTCTAAATATGTGCTTAATAAATCATATTTATGAGAGAATTTTGCGTTTAAGTGTTTTAGAGTAATAATGAAGTGTAAATGTATGAGTGAAGTTATTAGTTAACTTGTATCTTATCGCACTGGGATTAGGTTGCTAGTTGTGTGATTGATGTTGAACAAACTTCAGCTCGTGTGAGGGATGTTGGTAGTTTGTAGTATTAAGGTAGTAATGTGTTCTAGCTTGTGATGTAAGTGGATAAATTGTGTGGGTCTTGTATTTTTTTGATTTTGTTTCTTACTTTTAATAAAATTTAAAGGCAAAAGTCAAAACTATTTATTTCAATTAGAACAGAAAGGCACTTTTGAATGTCAATAAAACATTTAAAAGTGAAGCTATTTATAAGGTCATTCTAAGGTATAGATTTTGTCGCGGAGAACCTAAAGGGTAACCGGGGCTCCGGCTCGACGTGCAGGAGAAGGAACGGGGTGGTTTTTAGTCAGTAAGATTCTGACACTCCCTTCCGCCTCACCCAGGCGGGATTTTCGATGATTTTCCCCCTTAAAAAAAAAAAAAAGGTATAGATTTTCATGGTGAAGAACGAGCAAGAATCTCTAGAAGCTACTCTTTTTCAATCACGTTCACAAATTGAATGACAACACAGGACAGGACATAACTGTGACAAAACCCTTCATACTCAAGAATTATGCTCCGTGTGTGCAACACACGAATGTTTGGGGGGGGGGGGTGTATTTAATGATGAACGTCTTGAGATTGATATGATAATGATGACGTATTATAAAGGGGTAACTCCCAATATTCTATTAGCACCATTAGTGTTTATATCTACCAGTAAAACCTAATTGGATAGTGCATTTATTCATTTTATTTTTGTTCAGCACTATTTGACACGTATACCACACAAAACCACTTTGACTCATCAAACAATATTGAACAGACGTACCATAAAATAATAATCTGCAAAAAAATTCCTGCCCTCGGCCATTTTCAATATGGGGATGCAAGTTTTACGATGCATATCAAGATTTCACCCCAAATCATCCCCTGTTGGGAATCGTACGGGGGTGTAAAACATCATCTTTATTATTAGGCCTAAAGTACAGGGTGAGTCGAGCTAAGAGGGATAAATAAGGGTGAGGTTTTTTGTGAATTATTAAACTTTAAAATTGTCTTAAAGCAGCTGGCTCGTTTTACTTTGTTTTTAAGTCTGTAGGGAATATAAATGGTCTACTTAAGAGCTCACCTTGCGTTTGAAAACGAGTATGTAACTGTGTATTTGTTATTTATTACAAAATGCAATAGTAGAAAATTAAAATGATTAAACAATCTCTGAATAAATTTATTTTTCTTCCTTTAATGTTTTCTTTGGGCAGCAGAATAATAATTATGTAGTTACAATTACCCCTAAAATCACTACAAGGAAAATAATCATCAATAAACGGAAAAAAACATGTGTAAACACCAACTAACACATCTAGTCATTCCAACATCCACGTTCTAAAAAAATATTTTATCTCACTCAGAACAATGTGCTCAGTGCTCTCAAGAGATGTTTTAGGTTCCCCATATAACAGCCATGGGTTATTGTGAATCGCAATGAGCCATAGCCGAGTGAAAAATTTATAAGCAGTCTAAGCAACCATATTTTTTTTTGTTCTTTGAAAAACAACCCTACCAAGTTCTTTTGAGGTTTATGGTGATTTGTAAAAGGTATTTTATGGGGGAAGTTGTTTATGGAGAGGCGTTTTAGTAGAGAATTGGCAATTGTGGTCGAGTGATTATGATTTTGTAGTTCAAGCGATTACCGGTGAAGAAAACGTAAACCATTTTTATATGGATTTGTGTGGCAGTAAATTGTAGTTACCAATGAACTAACTGTCTTATCAACGAATTTTAAAAGGCGTTTCTTATTATAACCCAAGCATATTTTGACGGAATGTTTGAGTTTGTTCAGAAAGAACATTTTACATTTCTGTTCATTTTATTTAATTAAAATAACCCAAAACAATACCCCTAAGTTGCATTGCCTTTTAAACCTATATTTATATTTAACTCCAAATACAAAAAAAATATATTAGGTAATTTCTTTTTTTTTTGCAGGTTCAACACCTTGAGCAGCTTATTGAATAAAGGTGAGCCATTTATAAATTCCTTAAAATTGTAAAAATACTTTTATCTAGACGTAACATAATACATAACACACACAGTAAAAAGCTTTATAAATATTTAAGTAGTAAAACACAATGTCCAACACACCAAAAAATATCCTCAACAATACCTATTTCAAAATGTTTCATCCAAAAATTTTTAAACAACCGAGTCACATACTAACATTAAACAATTACATAGTTACCGGTTTGGGGAACCACGTTCAACATATTATCAGACACTGTAATACCAGTTTCTAATATAAAATTGATTCCGGCTGAGCGAGCATCGTTCCGATCTTCCTGATTTTGGACGTCATCCAACATTAATACTGCATGCGTCTACTTTTTTCGTCCGTGACATACATTTTTATGACGACTCCTGACATCGTGGAAATTTCTCGAACAAATTTTTGCTTATCATATCTCGTGAGACCGCGTTTTGATAAAAGATTTTAGTTCGATAGTGGATTTGGTTTTGGATTTCAGTTTTGTTACCTATATTAACATACCTACGTAATTATTTTTCGAGAAATATAGTATATATGTATAATAGAGGATAAAAGTTATATCCAATATTACCTGATGGTAAGCAATCGGCGTCGCCTATGGACATCTGGAACACCAGAGGCGTTACAAGTGCGTTACCGGCCTTTTGGGAATTAGGAGTATGGGGAAGGGGAGGGTAATTAGGTCTCCGGTAACCTCACTCACACGACGAAACACAACGCAAGTGTTGCGTCACGTCGGTATTCTGTGAGGCCATGGTATCACTCCGGTCGAGCCGGCCCATTCGTGCCGAAGCTTGGCTCTCCCACACTTAAAGTAAGGTTAAGTGTCCTATCACCTAAGGCAGCTCCATACTCTGTCTGTGTACCAAGTGTCATTAAAATTCGTTCTGTAGTTTTAGCGTGATTGAAGGGCAAACATCCAAACAGAGAAACTTCCACATTTTTAATATCAGTGTGCTTATTAATTTCATCTTTGCGTGGTAGTGTCTATTTAATCTTGATTTTTATTTAAAGTATAATTACTAAAATTGTTTTTAAGATATTACCTTTTAGATAATTATTATTAGATTGTAATTTGAATTCAAGTAATAACATCAAAGATAACGTAAATTTGTAATATCATTATTAAAATAAACAATTGATACAATAACTTGTTTTTTCTTTAAACATGTATCGTTTTATTTTTATCTTTGATGTCATTATAATGAATAGCAATCACAGAAAAATGACATTATTTTTGTGTGATTGTGATATTTTATGATTGTGATATTATTTTTCTGTGTTAGTATATTAGTTTATAGTCACACAAATAAATAGAATAAAAGTCCACACAAGTACGAAAAACTTCCACATATTTTACACAGTCCAAGAATTCCCATATTGAATAGAGACAACTTTTTATGGAACCGATTTACTTAACTCCAGACAAGTAAACCAACTTAGCGGCATATATCATCGGCTGGCTTGATATATATGTAACGACATTACTAACCTTCATATTTATTTATTAGGGTTGAGCCTACCAACTATTTGTACAACATATACAAGGTGTTACAAAAAACTAAACTTGGGAGCAAAGAAATGGAGGGACTATTATTTTTATTTATATTATCGAACCATATATATGTTTAAAAAAAATTACAACTAAATGCTCTCATTTTAATGGTGACTAAATTGCGTTTTATACGACATTCATACGTTACCATTGAATTAATAAGGCTTATGCAATATAGGGAGCTTTAGGTAGTATTTTCACATATCCAGTTACATTTAAAAAAATTTCACTTAGTGCCATTTTTCTCTCTTATTAAATATAGCCTATATTCATCATCGATAATGTAGGATTACAATGGTAAAATAATTTTTCGAATCGGTAGTTTCGGAGGAGATTCCATTCAAACAAACAAACAAAAAATCTAATCTTTCCTCTGTATAGGTACTATTAGTGTAGATGTAGATTATTACCACCAGAAGTGACTATATAATTGTTTAAGATATTTTTTTGTTATTGTTTTTTGGTTTTTTTATCTTAATATTTATGTCTGTGTATTTCATGCATCATTCTTAGTGACAAATATATTTTTTCTTTCTTTCTTTCTGACTTAGAACCATTTGATAAAGATCAGGAAGCAAAAATGGATTTTGTAAAACCTGAACGATATGAACAGTGATTTCCACCACCACAGTGGTTACCACTTACTTGCACGCGTTACATGGACATTCACAGGCTGTCTGTCTGCATATACTAAGTTTACTGATCAATGTCAACGAACTATTTAATTATATGTTAGTTCATTACTACATTTTTATGGTTTAATCCTTTGAGTACCGTCACAATTAAAGAACAATAGGTTGCGGTCACCGGTGTCCTCGCGGTGTTTGACAGTTTAATGTACAAAAAATACATGTAATCTGGTGTTTTTTGAAGAGGGGAAATCATAGAATGACTTCTCCCACCTGGTTGAGGCGAGAGAAAGTGTCAGACTCTTGTTTACTAAAAAAACACCCCGTTCCAACTCCTGCTCGTCGAGCCGAAGTTCCGTCAACCTGTCGTCCTCCGCGGCTCCGCATCGGGCATCAGCTCTAGACTAAGCTCCATCAATAGTTGTGTGATGGCTCTTTGAGGCCCACGCTAAACGCGCCATACCCTCGGGTCTGGTTCTGGTCGGGCGGCGAGTAACCCGTGCCCGTCGTCCGCAGGCCGGTGCATGTAAACGATGTAGTGTCGATTTTCAAAGGTAGAGTGTTTTATGAACTGTTTCTATACTAATTGTACTCTTTTTAGCTTAAATATAACTAAAAAGGGTCTTCAAGTAACACCCTATATACATTTCAATTTCTATAGGTTGACATATATTTATTAAATGGTTTGTTCGGTTCTTCGAATCGAATATTGGTTTGTAAACATTCATCTGTTATACGATTGAAATTCAATTACATTTTTATGGGCGATTCATGTTAATTTCGTACAAACAAGCCTGGGAACGAATGTAAAAGACGGTCGTTTGTGGTGTGACTTTATATGGGAACAAATTTTAGAGTGGTATTTTCAAATGTGTTTTCATGTAGTTACGGTTCATTTTCAATTAATGTTTTATTTCAACCGAGAAACTTGTTTTGAAAGAATTTTATTTATTAAACTTTTAACTTACATAACTTACATACGCAGTGCGCGTATGTTACAATTAATCCGCTAGTTGCAGTAAACTTTTAAATCCTTGCAACCTGATTTTTTACAAAGTATTACTTGAATAATTAATGTAATATTCTTAACGATCTAGCACACGTCCCACAGACCCCGACAGATTTAAGTTTAATAAAAATTTAGTAATTATTTAAAATTATACTGTATTTGTTGTAACAGCCTTTCTTTTTTCATTATCATCATAACATCACGGCTTTCATCCCCAAAGAATAAGCAGAAGTGCCGTGAGCACTTAATTTTTACTATACCCACTTTCAACCATCTATGTCTTGAGTTCTATGTAATAGGGGTGAGGCTATGGCCATATATACTGGGCACATTTCTAAACTCCATGCTACCACTAAGATTTTTTTTTAACACCCAGTAATACTTTGCCGACCCGGAAATCGAACCCGAGACCCCTTGACCGGCAGTCGCACTTGCGACCACTCAGCCAACGAGGCAGTCTTTCTTTTTTCACTCCAAGTAAAATATATATTGCAATTTAATATAAATTTTAGTAATAAACCGACATAAATAATATAATCAGACATTATGTAACATAATGTTACTTCACCTAAACAATTGTATTATGCAATGAACGTAATAAAGCAAACGTAATAAAGCAAACATACCAATATCTTAATTGAAGAAAACATTAAAAGATTTAAATATAAAGACAGTCTAAAATCTATGAAGGCTATACAAATAACATTGTAAGTTTCAATGGATATCATTTCCCGCGGCAAACATGGCCTTTATTGCCTTGGTATTCACTACACTTGGAGGTAAAATTTACTGGTGTGGATATGGTATAATTTCCTGAAGGCTTGTAATATTTTTTAAAAGAAAAGGGTCTGTTTTCAAAAAGAATATGTATAGTTACTAACACGAAGCTATGAATGGAATGGAATGCTGCTCATGAATATGGGCCTCTAGCATGGCTTGAAAATAGTCGAGTTCCTCGTCGTCGAGTACTCAAATAATTACTCAAACAATATAGGTAACCAAACACGTTAGGAAAATAAGAATCAACGAATATATCATAAAGCCATAAAAATGATTTTGTGATTGTACAACAAATTAGAAATGTTTTGATATACACAGTATCAAAATATATAATAAATCACACCATAACAAACACAGTGGGTCACTAGGTTCAACCCATGGGTTAGTCGGACATGAATAATGTAATACCATCACACCTGTTATTCCCCGAAGACTTCCTCCTGCTTATTAATCCCTTAAACTGAAGCAGATACTCCATAAAGACAGTTTTAATCCCCATATGAAATATATTATTGTATTTATTTATGTCTTCATGGGGTTTACCCCGTGCCGGACCAGAGCGATAATACTGCATCACAGGAAACTGGTATGAAGCAACGCTTGCGCTCCGTTTCGCTGTATAAGGGCTATGTTTCACCGGGCCATTATGGCAGCGCAACCAGTCGCGCTACTGTGGCAGTTGCATTAGTGGCTGAGTGAGAAACACACCGTACAGCGCCATAATAATTAGTGGTACCGCGATCAGCGTCAATAAGTGACCAGTAACATTTTGTGCTGGCGTCCGAACTGGTCGCGCCACCAAGAGGACACTAGGAGCGTAGGGGCGAGTCCCTTAACGCCGGACGGCACCTAACGCTGGACACTTGTATTATCTCGATAACTAATAACGCGAGCTATTTAATTTTTAAGGGGCAGTCTTCCATTGGCAGACACCTAAGAGTTTTAGTAAAAATTGAATAGCTCGTGTTATCTGTTATCGAGATAATACAAGTGTCCGGCGT